CACTTGAAATTTGAATAAAGCTGAATTTATGAGCCTACATAATATTAGAATATAACAAACGAGAAAAATGTAATGTCTATAATATTACTGCCGGAAAGCAACTGGGATGAGCCAGAAATTAAAATAATATAAGATGCAATCAACAGTATATGTTTGGCAGATGAAATTATTTATTTTTATTATTATTATTATTATTAAACTTATGCTTGTCGCATTTTGGTTTACTTTACTAAATTATTTAACAATACAAAAAAAATATTTCTACTTATTAAAAAAATGATTTAGAATTTTGTTTTATGTGTCAAAAATTCATTTGTATTGGATATGGAATATTTAGCAAGTTGATCTTAGATTGAATAGTGCACATATGAACAAGGTTTTACAAATTAATTCATCTAAGATTTGAACTTAAACAACAATCTGTATTAATTCTTATTGGGAAAAATGTACTTTAGAAATTATAATTGCCAAGAAGCAACTAATATATCGTACGAGATTATGAAAATTATAGACTAAATTATTGAAGCAATTATGTTGTATGGTAAAATCAAGTGTGATATTGTTCTTTTACCACAGATACTATTTTTTTTTTGAATTTCTTATGCTGCTTATGCTAAGACCATAAATGAATCACAAAGACAGGACATTTAAGAGGATATTGAAAAGTATATGATAGGATATTAAAAAAAATTGAACTTTTGAATTGTAGATGTGGGCACAGGACAATGTCTGCCGGGTCATCTGCTATATATATATATATATATATATATATATATATTTTTTTTTTTTAAAGCAAATAACATTCCTTTATTCTACTTCTTTCTTATAACGTTCCTGATAAACATGCCTCTCCTTGTTTATAATGAATAAAAATAAAACAAAACAAATTAATTTCAACATATACAACTTCTCACTCATATATACATATATACATATATCAATATGTATATATCTATATATGTATATATGAATCCATAAAAACGCAAAACACAATAACGAATCGAATTCTACTTTCACTGATTCTTCGTCGCGAAAGAACAAGTTCTTTACCTTGTTGACATTTATGGCACGCACACAACCAAATCGAACAAACTTACAAATACAAATACACATTTACACAGTAACACAAATTATTAAATTATTATGTTAATATAAATTAACTTCCCGTAGGGTAAGTTATAGTAATCACAAAAAAATCGAAAATGAAAATTTTTATATATCTTCAGGTTTCAAAGGTTTCTGAACATTTTGGCATACCTAGAAAAAATGAATGCATGTGTGTGTGTGTGTGTTTATGCGTGTGTGTGCGGATACAAATTTTTGTCGACGATTTCGAGAACACCGATCAACCGATTTGAATAATTCAAAAGTCATTCGATCCCTATCAATTGATTAGTTTTTGGCAAAGGCAGGTCTAGCCGTTTCGTAGATACGGGGCAAAAACTACCAAAAGCGGTAACTCACTTTTTACGAGAACGGAGCGTCCGATTTTAATAATTCTCAATTTTACTTGTATTGACAAGATAAAAAACTAATTGAATTTTTGGCAGGTCCAGCGATTATGGACTCCCAATAAAAATAAGTTAAAAAATGCCATTTTAAAAATGTTTATTGGACATATGTACATCAAATTATAAGATATTTTATAGAGATGTGAATAATGTGTACACATTTTGTGTAAATTTTTTTGGGTTCTGTACCAAGATTTTTAATTACGGTACGGGAAGTTCCAGCAATTTGCCTTTAGACACGATGCCATGCACGCCACTAGTTAACTTTCCGTAGGGCAAGTTATAGTAATCGCAAAAAAATCGAAAATGAAAATTTTTATATATCTTTACGTTTCAGAGGTTTCTGAATATTTTGGCATACCTTAGAAAAAATTGATGTATGTGTGTGTGTGTATGTGTGTGCGTGTGTGTATGTGTGTGCGTGTGTGTATGTGTGTGCGTGTGTGTATGTGTGTGCGTGTGTGTATGTGTGTGCGGATACAAATTTTCGTCGACGATTTCGAGAACATGGTTAAACCGATTTGAATCATTCAAGACACATTCAATTCCTATCGATAAGGAGACTTGTTGATTAGTTTTTGGCAAAGGCAGGTCTAGCCGTTCGAAGGTACGGGGCATAAAGAGCCAAACATGGTATTTTATTATTAAGATAACGGAGCGTCCGATTTTAATAATTCAGAAAACATTTTACTTGTATTGATGAAATGAACAACTGATGAAATTTTTGTGAAGGCAGGTCCAGCGTCTCCGGAGTTCCAATAAAAAAGTAAAAAATAATGCCATTTGGCGGTCAAAATTAAACATTAGACATATGTACATCGTATTATCAAATATTTTATAAAGATTATAATAATTAGTACAAATTTTGTGTACATTTGTATAAGTTCCGTACCAATGTTTACAGGTTAGACGACTACGCGGTGCTTAAGCGCTTTGATATTTTGACTCTAAATCAGCTATGCGATGCTTTAAAAAAATGTTCAATATTTAAAAAAAATCAAAACAAAAAAATTAAATATATGCAAAAAATTGTCAAAATTTCTCAAAAATTTAATTTTTTTAAAGTTTTGAAAAAGTTCAAAGCGTTTTTTAAATACAATGTTTGATTTTTGGTACAAAAATTTCAGCAATTTGTCTTAAGGCGCGAAGCCATGCACTACTAGTTTTACTTTTTGAGTCAATTTTTAACTTCCCGTAGGGTAAGTTATTGAAATGGGCCGAAAATCGAAATTGAAAATTTTTACATTTCTCGACGTTTTGAAGGTTTCTGAACATTTTGGCATACTTCAGAAAAAATGGATGCGCGCGTGTATGTGTGTGTGTGTATGTATATCGGGCGTACGGATCAACCGATTTGAATGGTTCAAAAAACATTCGATTCCTATTGATAAGGAGATGTGCTGATTAGTTTTTAGCAAAGGCAGGTTCATCAGTTACGGAGATAAAGAGCAAAGAGTGCAAAAAATAGAAATCGAGTTTTTGAGAGAACGGATCATCCGATTTGAATGATCTAAAAAACATTCAATTAGTAATGATTGGGAGAAGTCGTTAATAGTTTTTGGCAAAGGCAGGCCCAGCCATTTCAAAGATGCAGAGCTAAATGTGCAAAAAATGGCAGTTTTTGAGAGAACTAAGCGTGCGATTTAAATGATTCAAAAATCTTTCTGCTTGCAAAATAATTGATTTTGGAAAACAAAAATTTGTTTAAAAATTTTTTTTTCAAAAAAATTTTATTTTGTATATCGAAAATAATTCTGATTTTTTTTTTAAACTAAAGTTCTAATATACTTTGAACAAAATAATTTCAACTTTGCAATTCAGTTAATATAATTCTTATAAATATTAGGCAATGTTACAATATTTATAATAATCTATTTGAAAACATTTAATATTTCTCGAACATTTCGTTACGGTACGGGAAGTTCCAGCAATTTCCCTTAAGGCACAATGCCATACACACCACTAGTTATTTTTTTTATAATGCGTATATATGAAAAATACATATAACCTTACATTTTCACCTTCCACGATTTTTGTAAGAATTATTATAGCAATTACACAATTTTTCATCTTGATTTCTTTCGGAGAACCTTTATGACTGAATTTCGATTGATGTTTTGAGCTTATATAAAAGCTCAATTTTACATGAAAAATTAATTTCATCAAGGGTTGTACAACTCTTAACAATATTATTTTTTTACAGTATTGTTGATAGATGTCAAACTGGACTCCTGTTACAATTTTTTTTCTGAATATTTAAGATCAATCTTCTTTATTTTATTTTTTCATAGTGCGAGATTAAAAATAATTGTAATTAAATTTTTCAAGGATGCATTCAATTAAATAATTTCAAAAAGTCTAATTACTTATTATTTATCCACATATATATAAAAATAAGTCGGGCTTTCCTTCCTGACGATATAACTCCAAAACGCAAACGCAAACCGATTCCGACAATTTTGCATTCGTTGGAAAGGTCTCGGGCTCCGCAAGGTTTATAGCTAAGAAAATTAGCTATGACATTAGTGAGAATTATCAGAATTATGCTTGGTTAAGTCAACGAGCAATTCTTGCCGCAAAGAATAATGATGTACACGCACTGAATTTCACCATTCAATCAAAAATTGCTGACGATTTGGTGACATACCAATGATTCCGACTGGTCTTCCGTTTGACGATTGTAATTTCTAGTTCGCCTTGCGTTCGCAATGACAAGTCGCAAGGCTAATCGCTTAGTGTTTGCGGGATAAATTTCAAATAGATTATTTAGAAAATAATTGTTTTTCACATGGGCAGTTATACGTTGCCTGTTCACGAGTTGGTAAACCATCCGCTTTGTTTGTGTTAACGTCAGACCAAAAAACAAAAAATGTGGTTTACCAAAGAGCACTTCAATAAAACGAATAATTTGCGGATTCACTTTCATTTACTTAGAGAAGTTCAACTAAAAAACACTTCATTTTTGTAATAGAAATAAATGCATTACTGTTTTGTAATAAAATTAAATTTTTTCTTTTCAAAAATAAAACAAACAAAAAATTCCTTCATCTTACTCACGAAACCATCTGGTGGTAAAACGGAGTTCGTCGGGTTTGCTAGTTACTTATATGTAAGCTTTGATTCCGATAGTTTATTGGTTGTTTACGTAACAGTACTACTAGCTAACGGTGTAAAAAGTGCACAAGTTCAAAGTTGATTACAAGTTTTTTTCTGTGTCTTTGCCGCTGGATAATAGAGTTAAAGTGAATTACCTTGCATTTTTGATCAAATCCATTCCTTGTTTATAGATCACCATTACTCCTCAAACTTCCTCATCCATGTCACCGCGCCAGGTATCTTTTCTTTCAGTTTCCTGTATTTTTTTCGCAAAACTTGTCTAACAACTACATTCCTTACTTCTAATTTTATTTTTCCTTCCAAAACATCTTGCAGAAGACGCTCTTTTCCTAAATATTGAGAAAGTTGGCTAAAGTACCTCTGTCTTCGGAGATCTAACCCACTACTATTATTGTCATTATTATTATTACCATCTAACCATTTTTCTTCTATCCATTTCAGTATTAAATTCGTCCCTGGGCCAAGAAAGGAAGCGCTACCGCTCCGACGAGAACCGATATCGTCCGAGCGATGATGATGACACGGATTCGGCCGAAACGAGCGACCAGTGCCCGGAGCCGAACGGCTACTTCGCTGACGACGAGCAGTGCGACAAGTACTACGCCTGCAAGTGAGAAATATTAAATAAATGTGCAAAAGAAATTATATTTGTCAGTGTAGTTATCGTTTATATGTAAAAATTAGACAATCCAATTTTTATCTTTGGCATGTTTAATGAACTCTATAAAAATGAACAATCTGATTTTTCTCTTATTTGATTGGCAATTTTTCTCTTATTTCATTGGCAAGTTTTCTCTCATTTGATGATATTGAACTATGATTGATGCATGCTAAATTAAACAGTCTGATTCACGAAGTCTTCAAAATTGTCATCTCTTTCTGTCTTCTATTATTTTTCTATCTCGTCACTATATTGATCATGTGGTCCCTTATCATTTCTTTATCTTCTTCTTTATCATTCTTTTTATTTATTACTATATATCTTTCTAATTATTCATTTTGCCCATATTTTTATCTCTCTTCTATCACTAAAATTATATACTTTTCATACATTTATGTTTCTCTATTTTTAATTCTGCCTCGAAATTGCATTATTTCTCTATTTCTCATTATCTCTTTTGTCTTCTATCTTCTATTATTCTTCTTTCTCGTCACTATATTGAACATTTGGTCTCTATTTCTATATTCTTTATCATTCTGTTTATATCTATTACCATCTCTTTCTAATTTTTTATTAATGTCCATATTTCTATCCTTTTTTTATCTATTATTAAAAATCTTTATTTTTCATACAGTTTCTATCTCTCACAATATCTTTAGCACTCATTCTGTGTATAATTATCACTTAATCTCTATGTCTCTATTATGTCTCTATCTATCACTATATATCTTTTCCAAACTGTTATTCTGTCTCTATTTATAACTTTCTTCATCTTTATTTTTTTCTCTAGTTTGCATTATGCCTTCAAATCTCACTACCTCTCTATCGCTCATTATTTCTTTAACGCTCACAATCTCACTCTTCTTCTTCTTTTGTCGCTTATGAATAAATAAATAAATAAATAAATAAATCTCTGTCTCTCTTTAACGTCTCCCTATCTCTTATTTGTAACTCACTATCTCACTTTATCTCTTAATTCTCTTATTTTATGTCTCTTACTCTCACTATCTCACTCTACCCATTCATCATTCTATCATAATCTCTAATTCTCACTATTTCTAATTTTCGCTCTCTGTCACTGTTTCTCTATCGTTCTCTCTTTTCTACTATAACTTTTTAATCTTCTTTTATCTCTATTTCTCACTATGTCTTTCTAATTTTCGCTCTCTATCACTTTTTCACTCTCGCTCTCTCTTTTATACTGTACTATATTAATTTTGTTCTATCTCTATTCCTAACTATGTCTTTTTAATTTTCGCTCTCTAACACTTATTCTCCTTCGCACTCTTTTTTCTACTGCACTTTTTCTTCTTCTATCTCCATTTCTCACTATTTCTTAAATTTTTCATTTTATCACTTTTTCTCTCTCGCTCTCACTTTAATACTGTACTATCTTAATCTCCTTTGATCTCTATTTCTCGCTATGTTTTTCTAATTTTCGCTCTCTATCACTTTTTTTCTCTGGCTCTCTCTTTTAAACGGCACTGTCTTAATCTTCTCCTATCTCTATTTCTCTCTAAGTCATCCTAATTTTCGCTGTCTATCACTTTTTTCTCTCTATCTCTTATACTGTACTATATTTATCTTCTTCTATCTCTCTTTCTTACTATTTCTTCAATTTTTGCATTTTATCGCTTTTTCTCTCTCGCTATAACTTTAATACTGTACTATCTTAATCTCCTTCTATTTCTAATTCTTACTATATCTTTCTAATTTTCGCTCTCTATCACTTTAGCTCTCTCGCTCTCTCTATTTCTCACTAGTGGTCCATTAATCACGTGAGGTTTTTAGAGGGAGGGGGGTTTGACAAAGAAATCATTAAATATCACGTGGGGGTGGGAGAGGTATAGTAAGATATCATGTGTATTTATTTTTTACCTGATTTTTTTTTAAATTCAACTCAATTCAATTTTTTCTAGTAACCAAAAATACACGTAATGTTTGGTGAGGGAGGTGATTTAAATTTCGCCCTTCATCACTTTTTTCCTCTCGCTCTAGAATCTAGATCTATTGCTCAATATGTTTTTCTAATTTTCGCCCTTTATCACTGTTTCTCTCTTGCTCTCTTTTTTATACTGTACTATCTTAATCTCCTTCGATCTCTATTTATCACTTTGTCTTTCTATCACTTTTTCTCTCTCGCTCTCTCTTTTATACTGTACTATCTTAATCTTCTTTTATACTGTACTATCTTAATATCCTTTTATCTCTATTTCTCACTATGTCTTTCTAATTTCGCCCTTTATCACTGTTTCTCTCTTGCTTTCTTTTTACACTGTACTATCTTAATCTCCTTCGATCTCTATTTATCACTTTATCTTACTAATTTTCGCTCTCGATCACTTTTTCTCTCTTGCTCACTCTTTTATACTGTACAATCTTAATCTTCTTTTATCTTAATATCCTTATATCTCTATTTTTCACTATGTCTTTCTAATTTCGTCCTTTATCACCGTTTCTCTCTTGCTCTCTCTTTTATACTGTACTATCTTAATCTTCTTCTATCTCTATTTCTCATTATGTCTTTCCAATTTTCGCTGTCTATCAATTATCTTTCTTGCTCTCTCTTTCACGCTGTACTATCTTAATCTTCTTCTATCTCTATTTCTCACTATGTATTTTAAATTTTTGCTTTCTATCACTTTTTCTCTCTCGCTCTCACTCTTTTATACTGTACCATCTTAATATCCTTCTATATCTATTTCTCACTATGTCTTTATAATTTTCTATATTACTCTTTCTCTCTTGCTCTCTTTTTATACTGTACAATCTTTCAATCTTCTTCTACATCTATTTCGCACTATGTTTTTCTAATTTTCGCTCTCTATCACTTTTCTTTCTCGTACTCTTTTTTGTACTGCACTATCTTAGTCTCTTCTTCTATTTCTATTTCTTACTATGTCGTTATAATTTTCGCTCTCTATCACCTTTTTCCTCACTCTCTCTCTTTTACATATTAACCTTCTTCTATATCTATTTCTAACTATGTCTTTTTAATTTTCGCTCTCTATCACTTTTTCTTCCTCGCTCTCTCTTTTATACTGTACTATCTTAATCTCCTTCGATCTCTATTTCTCACAATGTCTTTCTAATTTTCACTGTCTATCACTTTTATATCTAAATCTATTTCTCACTATGTTATTCCAATTTTCGCTCTTGGCACCTTTTCTCTCTCGCTCTCTCTTTTATACTGTACTATATTAATTTTCTTCTATCTCTATTCCTAACTATGTCTTTTTAATTTTCGCTCTCTATCACATTGTCTCTCTCGCTCTCTCTTTTATGCTGTACTATCTTAATCTCCTTATATCTCTATTTCTCACTATGTCTTTCTAATTTTCACTCTCTATCACTTTCTCTCTCGCTCTCTCTTTAATACTGTATTATCTTAATCTTAATATCCTACGATCTCTATTTTCAACTATGTCTTTCTAATTTTCGCTAACTATCACTTTTTTCTCTCTTTTATACAGTACTATCTTAATACACTTCTATGTCTATTTCTCACTATGACTTTCCAATCTACGCTCTCTGTCACTTGTTTTCTCTGGCTCTCTCTTTCATGCTGTACTCACTATTTGCCACTCTTTCACTCTATCTATTCATCATTCTATCATAATCTCTTTCTCTCTCTATCTCCAACTATGTCTTTTTAATTTTCACTCTTTATCACTTTTTCTCTCTCGCTCTCTCTTTTATACCATACTATCTTAATCTCCTTTTATCACTATTTTTCACTATGTCTTTCTAATTTTCGTTTTTCATCCCTTTTTCTCTCTCGCTTTCTCTTTTATACTGTACTATCTTAATCTTCTTCTATCTCTATTTCTCATTATATCCTTTCAATTTTCGCTCTCTATCACTTTTTCTCTCTCATCTCTCTTTTACACTGTACTAAAATATTAAATTAATATTTAATGCCCATTTATGAGTATACGGAGTTACTGTAGAGCATCATAATGTTAGACAATGTTGTAGATTATTTTATAGTGAATAATTTTGTTGAATATATCATTCATAACAATCGAATGATTTAAATGTTGTGAAAAACATAATGAATAAATGCCCGAATAAGAGGGTGTCCATTAATCACGTGAGCGAGTTTTTAAGTATTTTGGACCCCCCCTTGGTCATACTTGGTGATATTCAAAATTACCCCCTCTCCCGCACCAAACATTACGTAGATTTTTAGTTACGTTAAAAACTAAAATTTTTGAATTTTTTTTGAAAATGTATGAACTATTTAAAAAAAATTAGTTAAAAAATAAAAACACGTGACATCTTACTATATCCCTCCCTCTGATATTTCGTGATTTTTTGTCAAACCCCCCCTCCCCCTAAAAACCTCGTGATTAATCGACGCGCTCTAAGAGCTGCTGTATTTGTTGCAATTCTAATTACACTATTAATTTGTCACTAAGTTCTAATTGAAGAAGATATATTTATTGATTATTTATTACATTTGTTGTTTCGCGGACTTTACTTTTAGAAAAATTAGACCCATCAAACTCTCCGCTCCTCCCTTTTACAAGGATAGCAACTTTCCTGTGTGAAAGCTTAATGCCATGAAGGTAGCTGCCTTCATGGCCAATATAATTAAAAGAAAATACGTCCGAACAGTAGCCACCAATGTCTCCAAATGAGAGCTTTTGATTTTTTTTAATTAATTACTTTCAAATGAGATTTTAAAGTAAACCAAAACGATCTAGGTTATATTGTTGCTATAAAAAGTCGAATATATTTTAATTTTGGACAAATATATCATTTACACCATTCATAATAATCGAATGATTTATAATTTATTAATGTGATGTACATTGGCACATTTGCAAGAATTAAATTTTAATATCCTACACCAATTTTAGATTATTAGCTCAAGAGTTTTCTATTTTAAGTGAGAGTTATAAATTATTTATTTGTGTACAAGTTTTTTTTACATCTCATTTATACTAATCGAATGGTTTATGAACAACATAAACAATAAATACACTCTTAGAGCGATCGGTTTAATTTTCTGTGTTCAATTATAAAAGTATACCAAGTTACTGTAGAACATTATTATAATAGAAAGTATTGCAGATTATTTAATTTTGGATAAATTTTCTTAATCATTCGAATCAAACGTTATAGAAGATATATTACAGTGTGAAACATACATAACTATCAATGTGTGACAAATAATATTCATTGTTTATGAAAAAATGCATAAAAAATAGAATTGTTTTAAATCATTTATGCGGAAAGAGAAACTATGCCTTTCTCCAGATTAATTATTTTAACATTAACCCACTGTACTATTTATACCATAAAAGCATGATAGAAACTATTAACCAATTGCGCTAAAAATATTAACTGGCTAACTGTAATGGCATCGTGCCTTAAGGCAAATCGCTAGAACTTCCAAATGTTTGAGGAATATTAAAGCAATTGTTTTGTCAACACAAGCAGTTTTCTGCACTTTTTTTGATTGGTGCACTTCTGATTTTTTTATATTGTTTATTTGTGGGCTTTCTGTACACGTACATTAATCATATACATTTTATAATTAATATTTACACTTTTATTTTATTTGCTTGTATATAATTGTATAGTGCACCATATATCCTTATTTGTCAATGATGTCATAAAATTGGTTGGAGAAAGATTTTTTGCCTTACTATCTCCCTCCATAGTTCTTTTTCTAACCTTTTCCCATTTTTTGCACTCAATAATGTCTTACTCAGCATCCGCCCTAGTCGCTCCACCCAAGCAATAGCAATTAGGATCGGTATTGATTACTTCTGATTTCATTAATATTATTATTATTTTTATTATATTATTCTATTTTCCATTGTTTTTATGACTTCAAAGAGAGAATGCCATAACTGAGAAACTTTGTCCAGACGGAATGGTTTTCAATGACTACGATCCAAATGTCGAAAAGTGTGATCTGCCTTTTAACATTGACTGCTCTACCAGATCTAAACTACGTAAGTATAATGTATATTGTCAGCCCACCATGAAGTTAATTACGATTCCATTCGTCCATTTCCTTTTCCAGAGGAGCCCCAGCCAACCCTGCACTGCAGGCGTGCCAACGGTTACTTTGAGCATGAAAACCCAAATGTTTGCGACAAGTTCTATTTTTGTGTTGATGGAAAGTTTAATGCCATCACTTGTCCAGCTGGCCTGGTATACAACGAGAAGACTGGTATCTGCACTTGGCCTGATGAAGCCAAGAAGTCGGGATGCTTGGCCAAAGGTGAGATACGACATAGTTAACTCTTTGCCCTTACCTTTCTTATAGTTCTTTCGTGGATTTATTGGACAACGATCAGAACTTGAAGGTCCTATAAGCGGTTGTAAAGATTTTAGTTAACAACATTCATTTTAGAAGACAATCCAACAGTTGGCCTGCCTCTATCTGGTGAATTGGATATTTCAATGTTTGCTGTTCTGGTGAACTTTAAGAAGAAAGGAATATTTTCACTTGGAAACACATTGCTATCCATATTTTCAAATGATGTCAATGCTTCTTGGCATCAACCTGTTCGAAGCGGGTACCGAACCAGGAACTTCTGATTCAAAATCCTGACCTCACTTTTAGAACTAGTAGATGTTTTATACTTTAAGTTATAAAATACTATGTTCTGTTTCGTTTTCTTTCAGATGTTTTTGCATTCTCCTGTCCTGCTGTAGCCGAAGCAGAAGCTGGTAAACATCCTCGTTATGCAGATCCATCAGACTGTCAATTCTTTTATGTCTGCATCAATGGACAAACACCAAGAAGGTAAAACCAGTAGTCATCAATATATTTTTTATAAATGTATTTTAATATTTTTGAATTTCTTCTAGGTCAGGGTGCAAATTAGGACAAGCTTTCGATGAACGTACAAACAGATGTGAATGGGCCAGAACTGTACCAAGATGGTAAGACAATGTGCCTATTGAAAGCAACTTCCAACGAAGTGAAGGGATGAAATTTCTTTTTTTTTTATTTCTGAATATCTATCTTCCTTTCTTTATCTTTTTCGACTATCTATCTTTTTTTGTGTCACACTGATTGTCTTGTTTTTGATTATTTACCAAGGTTCACATTAATCACTTGTACGATGTTAATGAACCATTTTTATTTTTAAATATTTTGTATTAAAAATATAAGACTATCACGTGCTCACTAGACATCGACTACACATTATAAAGTTTCACTTCTTCCTTCTTGTATTATTAATAAATAATTATCCTTTACCCTTGTTCTAATTTAGCAAAGACTGGTACAAAGATCGTCTGACCGATGCGGAATTAGAAGCTCTAGAAAATCCAGATGCAGCAGCTCCAGCAGTGGCTCCAAAACAGAAAGGTCCTGGTTCGACCAGGAATAAAAATAAGGATAATTTAGAAGTAACCGAGGAACAGCAGCAGAGCACTAGGAAGAATTTGTTCAATAATAGCAACAGGAGGAGACAACAGACAAGGGGACAAAGAAGGACCACTACGACTACAACAACTACAGCAGCACCTGCTGAAGAAATTATTGAGTACGAGTATGAAGAAGTAGAGGAGTAAATGATGAGATATAAAGTGAATTAATTTAATTATTTTACATTTTGGTTCATTGTCCACATCGTTGTCCTAAATTGAAAGTTACAGAAACATTCTTCATAATTTTTTAGATATGCGGTTATTTATGGGCGCTCCTGTTTTTCAAAAAGTCTAGGAACTGGGATTAAAAACAAAATTGCGATCACAGATTAATTTTTGTTGAGCAATAATTTATTAATTTTAATTTTTGGTTAATAAATATGTACCAAAGTTGATCACAAGGCAGTCACCAACTTTTGTAATTATTCAACCCTTTTCCTAGCCTCCATAAAAAAACGTGCCAGCCTATAAATCTCCACAAATCAAAACATTTTTCAAAAAATAGTTGTTTAACAATTAATTTGTATCCATTCAATTATCGACAAGTATTTATACATTTTCTTCAGTGGCAAAAATTATTTATTCGGTTTTATTTATTAAAATAAAAGCTGAGTGTGCGGAGTGAATGCATTTATTAGCTGCTAATTAAATGATAATTTTATAATTTTGTACTCAAAAATAAACATATTCTAAATCATTTTATAATAATCATTTTTAATGTAAGTTATTTTTTTTTTGAAAATTGTTCGATTTATATCACATTTTTTTAGGTATAAATTCAATTTGCTTTCCTACGAAATCTAAGTGGCAATTAAGTTATTTTTTTTAAATGTGCAAATGATCAATATGACATAATCAAGCTTTTCAATTTTTGACGACAAATAAAAACATGTTAAACTGATTTCTCAGAGACCAAATCACTGTCGGTAAAATCGCGTCTTAAACGAGAAAGCGTATTATTCTTTATAGAGACAATATGTTTTATATTTCAGGGACCGGCGTAAAGTGGCATATTTTACGACAAATCGTATTACACATGATCATCTTAACTAATTTCTACTGTAGTTATTTTTAACAAAGAGTTTGAATTCTAAACAAATCTCGGATGATTGCCATGTCGGCCAAACTTAACACAACGTTTTTTCGTATAATTTTACTTACGATTAGGCTTGGATACGCATGACCAGCGTTACTTCAATATTTTTTAATACAAATTGTTACTCAATAGCTTTCAAAGGATAACAGTTCAAAAACCGATATAAACGGTGAAATTTTGTATTTTTTTTATATAAACACATTCACTATTTGGTATAATAAAAATGCTTCCTTAAAATAACTCAGTTTATTTTAAATGTTACTTGTATCGCGGTCCAGCAGCAAGAGAGATATTTTACATAGTTTTAACATAAACATAAATATAAGATGGCGGATACATAGGTATGGTGGAGAACATTATTGCCAACATCACTAATATTAATGGCGGGACATTTGAATTACAATATATAACATAACACAAAAATGTGTCAAACAATTTTGTCCACTATTATTTCTCAAAAACTGCTGCACCGATCTCAAAATTTAAAAAACCATTCGATAAAACTTGATAAGGCACTCGCGTTGGTTAGATTTGGCGCAGAAAAACTCGTTCATTCTGAAAATGTTTGTGTTTTGTGGAAATATCTCTAAAACAGTCTATAGCAGTGTTTCCCAATCTTTCAGGAGTCACGCACGCCCCACCTTAACGTTTCTAAAAACGTTACGGCCCTCATATAAAATTTTTGACCTTTAAAAATGATTTTGTTTTTTAAGAAATATAAAAGATCAGCCTTTAGAAATCACTATTAAAATTGTGATCAAAATTTCATAGATGAAATGTGTTACAACCAGTTGAAAGTGGCATTTAGCCTTAATTGACTTATCACATCACCAAAGCAATATTTTTTTCAAATTTTGATGAATTTTTAAAATTAAACTACTAGCCAGAAGGCCATAATATTTCAGTATGTTCTATAAGACCATGATATCTATCGCCAAAAAAAATCATAAAAATCGTCGATTTTTTTTCAAATGTTAAAAGAACTTCTGCCAGCGAATCTTTACCAAAAACTAATCAGGTCGATTCCCAACTAATATCTTTCGAACGGTTTTTGAATTTTCAAAAACGATTCAGGATTAAAACGTAGACGAAAAATGTAAACTTTTTTGCTATTTACAAAGAAACGGTTTGGCCGATCGTCGCGCAAAACAGAGAAACAATAGACCTCATCAAGATTATCGATTAGCTTTAATTTTTTTTAAATCGGCCCAGCCGTTTTTAAGAAAACGTCGATGTAAGGTGAAGAATAGGCTCACACACACACGCATATTTTTTCCCAAATTTGGTCTCATTCGATTCAGAATGGCTTGAAACGCCGAGAAAACATAAAATTAGCGAATCGAATTTTTTGATAAAAACATAAACTTCTCCTTTGGGAAATCAAGATATCTAGTTTTTTCGTAACTAAAAATACACGTGGTGTTTGGTGGGGAAAGGGTAATTTTGAATATCACCAAATTCTTAAAAAATCGATCACGTGATCAACGGACTCTTAACAAGACTTTATAGTGGTGCCAAAATTTAATATATTAGAATATATAAAATATAATATATTATAATAATACATATCAATGCATACAAAAATATGATATACTAGCTGACCCGGGAAACGTTGTTTTGCTAAGTAAGGTATATTCTAAATACAATTTCTAGAAAATCAAAAATATTAATTCATTTAGTATATAAGGATGTGTTGTTTGCTGCTATATACAATGAGGTATTATAAAAACAATAAACACCATTAGTTTGTCTATATCTTGTCAATACAATCAAACAGGAAGTTTTATACACTTTCTATAGAAAACATGGTATAATACAATCCAATTTTTTTTTGGACTTTCGACTTATTGATTACGTTTCAAGTCTTTTAGATCTTGGATTCTGAATTTTGTGTATAATTGTAAATAATACTACTGAGCTTATACAAAAGATAGAAAATGAATTAAGTATTTCTTCTTTGACCTGCATTTTGAAAAGTTTCAAGTAACTTTCGATAAATTAAAGCAAATTTAATAAAAAGTAGGTATATATGTAGAACAGGGCGAGGTACAAACGTCCAATTTGACTTTGAGCAAATTTTAATTATATTATAAAAATCAAACTAATTATATCACAACAAATAACACATTTCAAACGAACAATTATCTGACTACATTCAGTAAAACTGTCAGCTACTTCTTTATTATAGAAATGTGCTTTTTAGCCGTCTTTCAAAAATAGGCGGAGTAACTTGGAACGGCCATGTAGCAAACAGGTTTAATGTCTTATTTTAATTTTAAAGGTATTTTACAAAACAATTACATTTTTAACTGATGCTAAAAAACTACCAGCGGAAGAAAATACTTTTATTATGGATTTTCAAAGATTACCATTTATCTCCCCCATTTCAAAGATTACCGTTTTCAAATCAAGGTTATAGCTGGTTATACATCTTGTTCACTCTACTTTCAAATATTGTTGTTAAACAATGCTTAACTTCACTGGATTTTGACACATCGATGGTGGACCTCTTTAACCGCGGACCTTCATATATTATTATCTATTCTTCGATAAATTCTGGAAAATTATAACTGGGAAAATGTTATTCGACAAAATATCCCTTTGATCGATACCAAATTTAGGTTCTGAATTTAAATAATATAAATAAAAAATAATATAACCTAGAAAATGTTTTATAAATACCAATGAGCATACAAATGAGATCTTTCAGAGCACCGTGTTTGAGAAAAATCTGCCAAAAAGTGCACATTTCAAAAAAGTTGATATTTTGAGTCTCAAGTAACACTTGCGGCCCGTTTACTAACGTCTTTGAATATAAATAAAACTACAAACAAAACTACTCACTACAATTTAATCGTAATTAAATAATATTTACGTAAAACATCCTTTTAAACGTAATTGAACACCATCTGTCAAAAACGTTTGACATTTCACGTATTAGCCACCGTCCATTGTTTTATTTAAATTACGCTTTTACAAAAAATTTTAAATTAAAAATGTAAAGTTTCTACGCGATTTTGAAATAATATCTCACCTTTCCGACCATCTCTGGATTGGCACGAATTTTTCAAGACTAAGACTGGCCTAATCGGTTTAGCCGTTTTCGAGTTTTATCGAATCATTTGATCGAGAGCTCCATTTTTATATATAAGATATCATTTATCAAAATAAATTTATTTTTAAATCCTAAAAGATAAATTTCAGTTTAAAACCGTGTTGCCATCTCTGAATAAAATTACCAACTCGCCGCCATCTTATTCTTTCACCAAATGTCAAAAACTTAACCTCAAAATTTTAACTCAGAAAACACGTGAAACATCGTACAAAAACAATTATTAAATAGAATAAAATAAATAATAATTTTGAAATAAATATATAAAAAATTATAATGTTAAATATGAGTGTTAAACGTGAGGCTCCACATGGCAAATCAAAGAAAATGTCGAATTCAAAACGATTGAAAAGACAATTGGAAAACGAAGAGGAAGAATTCAGGTTAGTTGTAGAAAAATTATTTTAAAGGCTTTATTAGTTTATAAATAGAGTTGATTTTGTGTATTAAATAATTGCACTTAGACAAATAAACTAGGTGTAAGTGGTGTTTTGCCTTAAGGCAAATTGTATGGACTTTCCAATGTAAATAATCAACATAATCAATAAGAATTGAGATTTACCTATTTAGCTAATATTTTCAACTTGTAGTTTTGATTATTGCACCCTCAGAGGTCCATTGCAACTTTCACAGGGTTCACGTCAGCGAAAAAAGAATTTTGAGGTCCATGAAATGAAAATTGCGGTCCAAGGTTGTAGATCACAATACACCACATTAATATCTACAATAAAAAATCATAAGCAATATTTATAAAAAGAACTAATGGTACGGAAGCTAGCAACGTTTTCAAAACAAGAACTTTAAGCAAATTTATGATATTTTGTTATGTGATCCTTGGTGCTTTTTTGGTTAGAGTCTGGGCCATTTGGCTGGTGGAAATGGTTGCGCTTATTAGTGCGCAGCCAATTTGTACATTCCAAAATTTTGAAAGTATTTTAGTCAGTCCAGTTTTCATTTTTTAACTTCCCGTAGGGTAAGTTATTGTATTGCGCCGAAAATCGGAATTGAAAATTTTTACATTTCTCGACGTTTTGAAGGTTTCTGAACGTTTTGGCATTCTTCAGAAAAAATTGATGTGTGTGTGTGTATGTGTGTGTGTGTGTATGTATGTGTGGATACAAATTTCCAGTCACGTTTTAGGGCGCACGGATCAACCGATTTGAATGGTTCAAAAAACATCCGATTCCTATTGATAGGGAAAAGAGCTGATTAGTTTTTGGCAAAGGCAGGTCCAGCCGTTTTGGAGATACGGAGTAAAGAGTGCAGAAAATAGAAATCGTATTTTTGAGGGGACGGAGTATCCGATTTGAATGATCTAAAAAACATTCAATTAGTAATGATTGGGAGAAAAGTTTATTAGTTTTTGGCAAAGGCAGGCCCAGCCATTTTGAAGATACGGAGCTAAATATGTACAAAATGGCAGTTTTTGAGAGAACTAAGTGTCCTATTTAAATGATTCAAAGAACTTTCTGCTTGTCTTAACAAAATAATCGATTTTGGAAAAAAAAATTGTCCCACATTTTTTTTTTTTTTTTGTTTTTTTTGTTTTAGTTTTTTGTATATCGAAAATATTTATTTTTAATTCTGACTATAGTTCTAATATACTTTACAAATAATTTCAACTCTGCAATTCAGTTTATATAATATTTATAAATATTAGACAATGTTACAATATTTATAATAATCTATTTGAAAACATTCAGTAATCCTCGAACATTTCGTTACGGTACGGGAAGTTCCAGCAATTTGCCTTAAGGCACGATGCCACCCACCCGACTAGTTGGACTTTGAATAGGTCCACCAGACTCACATTATTTGTTGGCAGTAAATAAAAATATTGTTCCATTTTATAAAAATGTGTAAGTTGTAGTATAAGTAGGCATTCGATTTGTGGTCACTACTATAGGGTTGAGGTTGTAAAAACCCTATTAGCTGACTATCGAAAGACTTGGCAAAATACTTGGCTTTTTTCAAAACTATTAGATTCCTGGTACTAAAGATTCAATAGTTGTGAAATAAACAGTTAAAAGAAGGTTTAGCGTTAAAACTGATCTAACAAAAATATGATGTAGGCTGGACATCATTAGCCGCAAGATGTGAGATTAATTCTTAACTAGCTGTAAGTGGAATTCTGTTTTAAGGCAATTAAGGCATCGTGCCTTAAGGCAAATTGCTGGAACTTCCCGTACCAAAAATTATTATTTTTTTAAAAGCAATTAACATTTTTGAAAAAAATTTACTTCGAAAAAATTAGATTTTTGAGAAACAGAAAAAATTGTTTGAAAAAAAAAGTTTTCTTTATTTTGGCATAGTATTGAAATTCTGAACTTTTTTTCCAAGCAATTGTACTGCTTTTGACTGCATAGAGATGAAATGTCAAAGCGCCGCGTCGCCGTCTAACGGATAAACATTAGTACGGAACCCATAGGAATGTAAACAAAATTCATACTTATTGTTAAAATCTCTATAAAATATCTGATAATCTGATGTGCATATGTCTAATGATCATTTTTGACCGCCAAATGGCTTTTTGTTTTACTTTTTTCATTAGATCTCCGAAACCGCTAGACCTGCCTCCATGAAAATTTGATCAATTCTTCATCTTGTCAATACAAGTAAAATGCTTTTTGAATTTTTAAAATCGGATGCTCCGTTCTCACTTTTTGCCCCGTATCTTCGGAACGGCTAGACCTGCCTCCACCAAAAACTAATCAGCACGTCTCCTTATCAGTACGAATCGAATGTTTTTAAATTATTTAAATCGGTTGATCGGTGTTCTCGAAATCGTCGACGAAAATTTGTGTCCGCACACACACACACACACACACACACACACACACACACACACATACATCCATTTTTTCTAAGGTATGCCTAAATATTCAGAAACCTTTGAAACGTCGAGAAATGCAAAAATTTTCATTTTCGATTTTTTTGCCATTACTATAACTTACCCTACGGGAAGTTAAAAAAATGTTGTTAAATGTTGATAATTGAGCATTTAATTTGCTATTATTAACTTAGAGTAAGTTATTGCTATGGTCCAAAAATCGAAAATGAACATTTTTGCAAATCTTCACGTTTCAGAGGTTTCTGAACATTTTGGCATACCTTAGAAAAAATGGATGTGTGTGTGTGTATGCATGCATAGATACAATTTTCCGTCCATGTGTTCGGGAGCACGGATCCACCGATTTCAAATATTCAAAAAGCAATCGATTCCTATTGATAGGAAGACGTGCCGATTATTTTTTGGCAAAAGTCGATCCAACCGTTTCGGATATATGAAGTAAAGAGTGCATAAATGGAAATTCAGCTTTTAAAAGAACAGAGCATCCGATTTGAATGATTTATAAAACGTTCAATTCATAATGTTCGGGAGAAGTGGTGAACAGTTTTTGGCAAAGACAGGTCTAGCCGTTTCGGAATTACAGAGCTAAATGTGCAAAAAATGGCAGTTTTTGAGAGAACTAAGCATCCGAGTTGATTGATTCAGAAAACCTTTTGCTTGTATTGAGGCGATTGCTTTTGGGAAAAAAATTCAAAATTGAGTTTTTTTTGTAATTTCAAAAAAATGTTTTTTTTTATTATAGAGAATAATTCGAATTTTAATTTCAATTCTAGCCAAAGTTCTAAATCTTACTTATATATTTCAAATAAATAATTTAAACATTGCAATTCAGTTTATATAATTCTTAGAAAAATGAGATAAGGTCCTTCATTCTAACTCCGTTCGATTAAGTTTTGTTTATTCACTTTTCATGTAAACTTATATAAACATTCTCAAATATAAGCTTTTCTATTTTGTCCATAAAATACGAATAATAAAACTTACAGTATTTATATATTTGAAAACATTTAATATTCTTCGAATATTTCATTACGGAAAGTTCCAGCAATTTGCCTGAAAACATGATGCCATACACCACTAGTTTTGAATTAAATTAATAAATATAAAAACATAACATGTATTTTTATTTTGAATATTTAATAATAAACTTTAGTAGTTATATTTTTATAAAAAAGCAAAGGGTCCACAACCAAAAAAGTTTGGAAACCTATGTCTTAAATTATACTATGTCCTCCACCCCACGGTCCAGAAAAGTTTGGGAACCTATGCCCTAATTTATGCTATGTCCTTTACCCTACGACCCAAAAAAGGTTGGGAACCTATGCCTTGAACTATACTATGTCCTTCACCTCGCGACCCAAAAAAGTTTGGAAAATTATGTCTTAAACTATATTATGTCCTTTACTCCACGACCCAAAAAAGATTGGGAAATTATGTCTTAAATTATACTATGTCCTTTACCCCACGACCCAAAAAAGTTTGGGGACCTATGCCTTGAACTATACTATGTCCTTTACCTGGCGACCCAAAAAAGTTTGGAAACCTATGCCTTGAACTATACAATGTCCTTTACCTCGCGACCCAAAAAAGTTTGGAAACCTATGTCTTATATTATACTATGTCCTTTACCCCACGACCAAAATAGTTTGGGAACCTATGCTCTAATTTTTACTATGTCCTTTACCCTTTTAGGTTATCCAAGCTCCTCTTCGACAATGGCGAAGGCTTACTAGAAAACTTAAACAATGAAGACCTTGACCAAGATATTCTCGACCAACTTGACTCTGATACTGATGAACGCAAACCAGCCTGGAACGATGAAGAAGATGAAGACACAACAGTAGGAAAAGCCTTAAATGCACAAAATCGTGTCCTGCCCGAAGGCGGGATAAATGATCGCGGTAATAAATACTCTAATTTGTTAAAAGAAAAGTTTAAGACTGTTTATGGGACTCCAAAATGGGCAAGTCTTGACCGTGAAGCAGAAGAAGGTTCTGATGATGAAATTCTTAGGAGTAATAAACATATTGTTAAATCCAAAGCGAAGAATTTGCCTAAGAATGTTTTGGATATTAAAAGAATGAAGGATTTGAACAAAGACACTTATAGTGAAGGCCCCATTGTGTCTTCTGTAGATTTCCACAAAGGCTCCAGTGTTGCCTTAGCAGCAGGCTTGAATGGTGTGGTATCAATTTACGCAGTGGACGGTCGTGAAAATGAAAAACTACACACCCTAGGATACAACAGATATCCTATCCACAACGCCAAGTTTTCCCAAGATGGTGAAGAAGTCATCCTGGGAGGCCAACACTCCTATTACCACTGCTACAACTTAATGTCCGGGGACACCAAACGCATCATGTTACCCCATAAAGTGACACAAATGAAAATCTATGAATTGTCACCATGTGGTAAATATATTGCAATTGGTGGCAGGTTTGGTGAAGTTTTTGTTCTGAGTAGTAAATCTAAAGAGTTGCTGTGTACGATGAAACAAGCTACAAAGTGTACCGGGATGGCTTTTAGTGAAGATGGTGCAAGGTTGTATTGTCATGGTTCTGAGAATGAGGTCACTGTTTTTGATATGAAAGAAAGGAAGGCTATGAAGAAATTTTTGGATGATGGTTGTTTGGCAGGGTCCTGCATTGATTTGAGCCGGAATGGACAGTATTTGGCAACTGGTAAGTGAGAGCAATATATATATATATATATATATATATATATAATAATTTGGAAATATGAACAAACAACACTCTTTTTTGCACTAATTTATCAAATAATAATTTTACAAACGTTTCGAGACTAGGTTTGTCTCATCATCAGTGTGTTATAATTCAAAATCTAAAATATGGAAACCTAAATTAGCATTATGTGTTATCCGTTACAAGTCGTCCATTATACTGCCCACCAAAGATCGTCAGAGTCTGAATTCTCAATCAAGGTCAAGTAGATGAGTCACGAAATATCAAATAGGAAAGAGAAGGAATAGGGCCCAGTTGAAAGATAGATGTCGCTAGGAGGAAAAATATTCTTTGAAAGGAAACGGTACGTTTATAAACGGTTCTCCTAGCGACATCTATCTTTCAACTGGGCCCTATTCCTTCTCTTTCCTATTTGATATTTCGTGACTCATCTATATATATATATATATATATATATATATATATATATATATATATATATTTATTTCCACAATCATATTTACTGATTCTATTTTCTTACCCCAGGTAGTGCAGAAGGTGTAGTCAACATCTACGACACAACAACACTGTTCAAATCAAACAACCCTGACTACTCCCCGAAGCCACTGAAGTCCATAATGAATTTAAGAACAGGAATTACTGGTGTGAAATTCAATCCAACGAATGAAATTCTAGCCCTGCATTCAGCTGATGTCGATAATGCAATCAGATTAGTTCATTTACCTAGTACTACTGTTTTCCAAAACTTCCCTGGAATGAATAATTCCACAGGATTTGGTCGAGCGACAAAGGTGGCATTCTCACCAGCCAGCGGGTATTTTGCTATTGCTAATAATAGGCATTCGGTAGCTCTTTATAGGCTAAAGCACTATAATAATTATTAATTGTAATTGTTAATGTTAATGTTTTGTTAAGAAATATATGTGTATAAAATAATTATTGTTGTACTAAATGTCTACTTTTTTTTAAAAAAAATGTTTATTAACTTCCCCCGTAGAGTAAGTTCTATTAATCGAAATTTTTATATATCTTTACGTTTCAGTCGTTTCTGAACATTTTGGCATACCTTAAAAAAAATGGATGTATATGTGTTGTGCGGATACAAATTTTCGTCGACGATTTCGGGAACACCGATCAACCGATTTGAATAAATGAAAAAATATTCGATTCGTATTGATAAGGAGTCAGACTGATTAGTTTTTGGCAAAAGTTGGTCAAGCCGTTTCGAAGATAAGGTGCAAAAAGTGCCAAAAATGATAATTGTGTTTTTGTGAGAACGGAGCGTCCGATTTGAATAACTCAAAAAGCATTTTACTTGTATTGACTAAACGAAGAACTGTTTAAATTTTTGGGAAGGCTTAGCGGTTTCGGAGATCTAGTAGAAAAAGTAAAAAAATATGACATTTGGCGGTCAAAAATGATCATTACACACATGCACATCAAATTATCAGATATTTTATAAAGATTTTATTAATACATATAAATTTTGTTTGCATTTTTATGGGTTCCGTAACATCGTTTGTCCGTTAGACGGCGACGCGGCGCTTACGCGCTTCCATATTTCGTCTCTATACAGCTAAAGCAGTGCGATTTCTTTGAAAAAAAAGTTCAAAATTTCAAAAATATTTCAGAATAATTCTTTTTTTTCAAAAATTTAAATTTTCTCTTAAATCTAATTTTTTCAAAGTTTAAAAAAAAAATCTTTCTTAAAAAATAATAATTTTTGTTCCAGCAATTTAAATACATTTTATTAACTTCCTTAATGGGCCGAAAATCGAAAATGAAAATTTTTCTAAACATTTTGGCATACATTTGGCCTCAGAAAAAAAATGGATGTGTGTTTTGTATGTCCGCATTTTTTCGTCCACGTTTGCGGGCGCACGGATCAATCGATTTGAATGGTTCAAAAAACATTTGATTCTTATTGATAGAGAGATGTGCTGATTAATTTTTGGCAAAGGCAGGTCCAGCCGTTAGGGAGATACAGAGCAAAGTGCGCAGAAAATAGAAATTGAGTTTTTGAGAGAACGGAGCATCCCATTTGAATGATTCAAAAAACATTCATTTCCGCAATGATGGGGGAAAGTGGTGATTAGTTTTCGGCAAAGGCAGGTCCAGCCGTTTCGAAGATATGGATCTAAACATGCAAAAAAATTGCAATTTTTAGAAAATTCTTGAGAAATAAGCATCCACTTTCTGCTTGTGTCGAGGAACAATTGTTTTTGGAAAAAGAAATAACAAATTGATTTAAATTTTTTTATTTAATTCAGATTTTCAAAATTTTAATTCGGTACAGAAAGTTCGAATTACCACTAGTTTTTCTTATCTTTGCATGATGCTAGGTTGTATAAAAAATACAAGCAATACTTATATAAATGCCTATATTTTCTAATTTTTCTTTTACAGTTTCGATTCTATTATATCTACAGATTGAAAAAAAATTTAAATCAATATACTATTTATAAATAATTATTTATAAACACATTAATTGTCTTATAAGGATACTCTCTATTATGAGTACGCATATGTTGTTTTAAATATTTTAAATGACTGAAGGCTCTGCCACATTCTTCACATTTATGAGGATACGTTAGTCTTTAGCATGACTAACCGTATGTTGTTTTAAATCCGACAATTGGCTGAAGGCTTTGTCACATTTATCACATTTATAAAGATACTTTTTAGGGCCATGAATACTCATATGTAGTTTTAAATTATACAAATGACTAAAGGCTCTGTCACATTTATCACATTTATGAGGATACTCTTTAGTTGTATGAAAACGCATATGTAGTTTAAAATGACCCGAATGTTTGAAGACCATGTCACATTCTTCACATTTATGAACATGCACTTTATTATGAGTGAGTCTATGTCGATACAAAGAATTCGATAGACTAAAGGCTTTACCACATTTATCACATGTGTAAGGACGCTCCCCTGTATGAACAAATATGTGCTCTTTCAAAATTGTTAATGTAAAGAATGACCTGTCACAGAGTTCGCATGTGTAAGGCTTTATACTTTCTCTAGTATGAGAGCGCTTATGTTGTTTTAAACTTCTTGGATGAAAGAAAGCTTTGTCGCATTCATCACATTTGTAAGAACGATCACCAGAATGACTAGACATATGTAGTTTTAAATTATATGATTGAATGAAGGCTTTGTCACATTTATCGCATTTGTAAGGTCGAACCCCAGAATGAAGAAACATGTGCATTTTCATACTTTTCAGTCGTGTGAATGTTTTATTGCAGACTTCGCATTCATAGGGGCGTTTTCCAGTATGAGTATGCATATGATGTTTCAAATTTTGTGATGAGCATAATTCCTTGTTACATAATTTACATGTAAAAGAAAGTTTATCAGAATGAGTACGCATGTGCAACTTCAGGGAATGTGAAGTTTTGAACGCCTCGGAGCATAATTGGCATTTATAGAATCTAGTATGAGTTCGCAAATGATAATTTAAACTATTTGATGAATAGTATACTTTATCACATGTTTCACATGCATAAAGAGGTTTTTTAGAATGAATACTCATATGTTGTTTCAAATTAAATAAACGTATGAATGTTTTATCACACATCTTACATTTAAGGGGACGTACGCCACTGTGAACAAGCATATGTTTCTTTAAGTTGTCCTTTTGTTTAAATACCTTCTTGCAAATTCCACATTCATGAAGGCATTCTTCTTTATTTAATGATTTAAATTTCTCCAATATTCTCTGTGTGTATATTTGAGGCGCACTCTTTCCAGAATGAGAATATGTATCTTGCTTTTCACTAGGCTGTATCTCTAAATCAATTGTCTCAGGAAAAGTTATTGGGGAATGATTTTGATCTAGTATATGTTCTATATGTGAAAATGATCTATTACACGTGATATGCTCAAAAGGGAGCGTCTCAATTGGTTCCTGCTTGACTTCTTCTTCAATCTTTACTTCTGAATTCATGAATCTTTCCAGACACGTATCTTCATCCTCTGAACAAGGTTCAGGCTTAATAACATTATCAAATTCATTCTTGATTTTATTTTGAAAATCTTCTATATAATCTTCGTTTGGTTCATTCTTGATTTCATCTTGAAAATCTTCTATATAATCTTCGTTTGGTTCATTCTTGATTTCATCTTGAAAATCTTCTATATAATCTTCGTTTGGTTCATTCTTGATTTTATCTTGAAAATCTTCGATATATTGTTCGTTTGGTTCAGTTTTAATTTTCTGCTCACTTGTAAAGACAGTTGTTTCGCCGGACATTTTTAAATATTTACACCTTTTATGCAAAAGGTTTGCATAATATTTTCTCTTAATCAATAGATAATTATTATATTATCTAGGGATAATTATACTACAATTAACAACAAATATAACAGATTTTATGTTCAAAGTTTAAATAAATTTAATCAAGTTTGAAGTTTTGTGCTGACAAGCATAGAGACTTAATCATAGATATGAGTTTTAAAAATTTTACCAACATAAGTGTCTCATCTTTCTCAAAACTTATTCTATGCTTCAAGTGTCAAATTGTCAAATGCCAAACGATTCATTTTCATTAACCTCTTCCTTTTGCAAATACGAATTAATTTAAATTCGTCATCAGATTTGAAAGATTATTTATTAAAAGAGATTATTAAATAGTACACAACTATTTTCATCAATACGTATTGGGAACACGAAGTGCAAAAATATAAAAATGTCTGAAGTAACAACTGTCTCTATGAATGATACGAAAATTAAAATCGAACCACTAGAATTTTCTATCGAAGACGTTAAATGCGAAATTATGGATGAATTTGATGATCTTAATGGTTTTGCCAAGTCTGAGTCTTGTTCTGAAGATGATGAAACTTGTTTAGAAAGATTTATGAATTCTGAGGTAGAGATTGAAGAAGAAATCAAACAAGAGATAATTGAGACATCAGCTCATGAACTGCTTGTATGCGATAAAGTATTCGCTACAAGCTTTCTATTAAATCAACATGTATGTGATCACATAGAAGAACCTTTGAACCTGAATGAGTCTGATAATTCAAAACAAATTCTACATGCTTCTACTGAAAAGGACCCTTACAAATGTGGAATTTACGATAAGGCATTCACAACATCGAGTGAAGTATGCGATAAAAAATTTGCAAAAACATATGATGGTTTGGAAATGCATATGCGCATTCATACAGAAGAGCGCCCTCATACATGTGGAATATGTCATAAGACATTCACAGAATTAAGATATCTGAAAGTACACATGCGAATTCATTCTGGTGAATTTGCTTATGCATGCAAAATATGTAACAAAGGAATCCGTTCATCAGCGAAATTACAAGAACATATGCGCACGCATGCTGGAGAACGCCCCTACAAATGCGAAATATGCTATAAGACATTTGCATACATGAGAACTATGAAATCACACATGTCTATGCATACTGGTGAAAGTCCTTACAAATGTGATAAATGTGACAAAGCCTTTATTAATGCACATAGTTTAAACCAACATATGCGCATTCATACTGGAGAACGCCCTTACAAATGCAAACTTTGTGATAAGTCATTCCCTATATTTATAAGTTTGAAACGACACTTTTTTGTTCATACAGGGGAACGTCCTTTCAAATGTAATGAATGTGGCCTAGACTTCAGGCAAGTGGGTACTTTGAATCGACACATACTCACTCATAATAAAGAGCATTCTCATAAATGTAAAGAATGCGACAAAGTCTTCAAATATTCAGGTTATTTAAAACAACATATGCATATTCATACTACTAAAGAGGATCTTCATAAATGTGATAAATGTGGCAAAGCCTTCAGTCAATTGAGATATTTAAGGCGACATGTGTATACTCACACTAGAGAGTATCATCATAAATGTGAAATTTGTGCAAGATCGTATTCTAGTAAACGTAGTTTGATTAATCACAAATGTGGAGAGAACATAAGGGAACAGAAATAAACCAAAAACTATAAAGACAATTGATGTTTTGTGTTTATAAATAATATATTGACCTAAAATGATTAATTAAACCGCATGTGCAAAAGCTGTCAATAAAATAAAAGAGAACTGTAAGAGCAAAATTAAGAAATACAAAAATTAATATAAGTATTGTGTTTATTTATTACACTTTATCGTCATCCAATCATAAAATTATATGTATATATATATATATATATATATATATATATATATATATATATATACATACTAGCTGTACCCTTTCACTTAACCGTTAAAATAAAAAGTTGAACTAAGATGTATATTTGTTACATTTAGTTTAACGTTACTACTATCTGTTCAACGATTTACCTATTCAACAATTTGTCTACGTATTTACTTATAAACTTGTTAATCAATCTACCAATTTACCTTTCAACCTATTTACCTATCAACCCATTTCACATGTCTACCAATTTACCTGTCCACCTGTTTATCTGTCTTGTTATTTGTCTATGTACCAGTTGTACTGTCTACCATTTTACATATCCTCCAATTTGCCTGACCACCAGCTATCCAACAAATTACCTTTTCACTAATTTACTTATCTACCAATTCACCTGTCTATCAATTTACCTGTCTACCAATTTAGCTATCAACCTGTTTATCAATACACCATTTTACCTGTCAACCAATTTACCTGCTTACCAATTTACCTGTCATCCTGTTCTAAATGTATACCAATTAACATCTTCAATAATTTACCTGTTGAACAATTAACCTGTTTAACAATTTGTCTAATAATTTATCTATCAACCTGTTTAACAATTTGTCTACTAATTTATCTATCAACCTGTTTATCAATCTACCATTTTACCACCCTACAAATTTACCTGTCATCCCGTTCTACATGTCTACCAATTATCCTGTCAACCTGTTTATTTGTCTATATATTCGTCTATCTACCAGTTCTTCTACCTAAAATTTAACCATACATACACTCAGTTTCACCTGAGTAGAATTGAGGTCAACATCGATCCTAATTGCTATTGCTTGGGTGGAGTGACTAGGGCGGATCCTGAATGCAAAAAATGGGAAAAGGGTAGGCAAGAAATATGAAGGGAGATGGTGAGGCAAAAAATCTTCCTCCCAACTAATTTTATAACATTATTAACAAATGACAAAGGATGTATGGTGCGCTATACAATTATATACTATTTAATAAAATAAAATTGTATAAGATAACTTATTGAATGTATATCACTAATGCACATGTATACAAAGTCAACAAACCAACAATAAAAAAAATGGCTGAACCAATTCGCCCTGATTTCTTTGTGCTAAATCCAGGATAGATTTAAACGGTAGTAAAATGAGAAAAATTTATATTTAAGTAATGACAACTTTGGCAGTCTGGTGTAAGTATAACTATTAATAGTTATGTAATAATTATCTATATACTTAAAAATAAATTGCTGTTCGTTAATCTGCATCAAACTCAAGAACATCTGATAGAATTGGAATCAATACTCGATCCTAATTACTACTGCTTGGGTGGAGTGACTAGGGCGGATGCTGAGCACGCTATTATGGAGTGCAACAAATAGGAAAAGGGTAGGCAAGAACTATGGAGGGAGATAGTAAGGCAAAAATCTTCCTCCCAACCAATTTTATAACATTAATGACAAAAAAAACGGATATATGGTGCGCTATATAATTATGTACAATCTAATAAAATAAAATTGTAAATATAACTCATAAAATGTATATGAAGTGTATACAAAGTCAACAAACCAACAATAAAAAAAAAAAAAATGGCTACACCAATTTGCCCTGATTTATTTGTGCTAATCCAGGATAGATTTGATAGTAGTAATGACAACTTTGGCAGTCAGATTTTAAATATACAGAAAATTATTACAAAACTATTAATATTTTTGTAATAATTATCTATACATTTAAAATAAATTGCTGTTCATTCATCTGGATCAAGAACTATAGAGAGAGATAGTAAGGCAAAAAATCTTCCTTCCAACCAATTTTATAACATCAATGATAAAAAAAACGGAAATAAAATAAAATTGTAAATATAACTCATAAAATGTATATGACTAAAGTACGTGTATACAAGGTCAACAAATAAATAAAAAAAACATTCCTTTCTGTTGTCAATAGATAAGACATACATCAAGCAAGATCTAACATTTTTCAACATTTTTTGGCAATAAATCCAGCCGTGTATGTGCAAACTTGATCATTCAATAAACTACTCTATTAATGTCATCTAATATAAATCCATCAGTTTTTACATTAGATGAAATTAGAACAACAACAATGTTTTTAATAAATCAATCCTACCTTCTATTTTATCAAGCATACAATTGTCAGAGTAAAAATGGATGGCATGAAATTTATTGATAACAAGGGTTTTGTATGATCCTATAAATGCACTGCAATTAGTATTAACAACATAGCTTCTAATACTGCCAAAAAAATTTCTAAAGAACTTGATCATTCAATAAACTACTACTCAGGCCACCTAATATAAATCCATTAGTTTTATCATTAGATGAAGTTGGAACAATAATAATGTTTTTAATGAATCAATGGTACCTTCTGTTCTATCAAGCTCCTAAATTGGCAGCAGAATTGGCAGTATGAAATTTATTGATAACAAGGGTTTTGTAGGATCCTATAAAGGCACTGCCAGTAGTATTAACTCCGTGGCTTCTAATATTGCCAAAAAAAATTCTGTAGAACTGGATCATTCAATAAACTACTACTCACGCCACCTGATATAAATCCATCAGTTTTCACATTAGATGGAGTTAGAACAATAATAATGTTTTTAATGAATCAATCGTACCTTCCTGTTTTATCAAGCTCCTAAATTGGCAGCAGAATTGGCGGTATGAAATTTATTGATAACAAGGGTTTTATAGGATCCTATAAATGCACTGCAAGTAGTATTAACCCTGTGGCTTCTAATATTGCCAAAAAAAATTCTTTAGAACTGGATCATTCAATAAACTACTACTCACGCCACCTAATATAAATCCATCAGTTTTCACATTAGATGGAGTTAGAACAATAATAATGTTTTTAATGAATCAATTGTACCTTCTGTTCTATCAAGCTCCAAAATTGGCAGCAGAATTGGCAGTATGAAATTTATTGATAACAAGGGTTTTATAAGATCCTAAAAGGCACTGTCAGTAGTATTAACCCTGTGGCTTCTAATATTGCCAAAAAAAATTCTGTAGAACTGGATCATTCAATAAACTACTACTCACGCCACCTAATATAAATCCATCAGTTTTCACATTAGATGAAATTAGAACAATAATAATGTTTTTAATGAATCAATCGTACCTTCCTGTTTTATCAAGCTCCTAAATTGGCAGCAGAATTGGCGATATGAAATTTATTGATAACAAGGGTTTTGTAGGATCCTATAAATGCACTGCAAGTAGTATTAACCCTGTGGCTTCTAATATTGCCAAAAAAAATTCTTTAGAACTGGATCATTCAATAAACTACTATATTAACATCATCTAATATAAATCCATTAGTTTTAACATTAGATGAAGTTGGAACAATAATAATGTTTTTAATGAATCAATTGTACCTTCTGTTTTATTAAGCTCCTAAATTGGCAGCAGAATTGGTAGTATGCAATTTATTGATAACAAGGGTTTTGTAGAATCCTATAAAAGCACTGCCAGTAGTATTAACCCCGTGGCTTCTGATATTGCCAAAAAAAAATTTCTAAAGAACTGGATCATTCAATAAACTATAGTTCATTAAACTATAGTATACTACTCACGTCATCTAATATAAATCCATTAGTTTTAACATAAGATAAAATTAGAATAATAATAATGTTTTCAATGAATCAATTGCACCTTCTGTTCCATCAAGCTCCTAAATTGGCAGCAGAATGGATGGTCTAAAATTTATTGATAACAAGGGTTTTGTATGAACCTATAAATGCACTACAAAAAGCCCGTGGCTGGTAACACTGCCAAAAAAAAAATTCTAGAGAGTCTTGATTAAAATTTTGAGTTGATAAATGCTTACATTCGGGGCACCTTATTTTCCATATTCCAAACCCTCTAAAACAGTGTTCAGGAAACCGGAGTAAATTATCCCAATTTGGGTGAAAATTGAATTTTTGGAGTAAAGATTTTTAATTGATTTCACTCTTTCTCCAATTTTTAATTCTCTCTTTATCATGGGTTTAACATCAACATAGACAAAAATATTTTGGGGTAATGATTGAAAAAAGTTTCCCGATCACTGCTCTAAAGTCTTAATCCAGCTTTGAATAGTTGGAGGAGTTTTAACTCTATTGTCTTTGTTGTAGAAGCTTATGCTTTTAAAAATACTTTTAGCCACTTTCCAAATTAATAAATAGTTGGACTTATCTGGTGAATCACCATGTGGAACTTTACAGTCTCTGTCAGAGTTTGAAGCTGACCCATTTACACTGTCGAACTGCTTGTCTACAAAATTAAAGAAATCAGCAGTCCCAGTGAAGAAAATTATCTAAAATATGATTAAAATACAATATAATAAAAAACAGCAATAAAATGCAGCAAAACATTATTTTCATTTACTTACTTTACATTTATTTTTGTCATTTTTTATGGATTTTAGCCACTATCCAAAATAAAAAATTGTTGGACTTATCTGTTGTAGCACTATGTAGAACTTTATAGATTCTGGCAAAGTTCGAAGATGACCCATTTACACTGTCAAACAGCTTGTCTACAAAATCAAGGAAATAAGCATCCCGGTGAGGAAAATGATCACCTAAAATATGATTAAAATACAATATAATAAGAAACAGCAATAAAATATAGAAAACAATATATTTTACTTACACTTTACATTCATATTTCTCATCTTTTCTAAATAAACATTGTGTGTCTGCAACCTATATATAAATATATATATATTTATATATCACATACAGGTGAGTTAGGTGATTCAGAATCAATTTCATATAATTTGCTTATATGACTAAGATACTTTTTTAAGCTGATTATGTTGCACAAATGTAATTTCATATAATAAAAAGCGGTTCCTTAGACATTTGATCATATATGCTGAGGATCATACAGCAATTTCTT